GTCCAGACCAAAAACAATAATAAACCAATATGATTTAGTATTAGCTATGCATTGCTGCTGTAACTAATGAATGCAAACTTAATGGCTTAAAACAACAAAGTGATTATCTTACAGTGGTGAACATCAGAAATTCCCAGTGGATCCTCAGGGCTCTGTTTCTTTTGGAGGCTCTCAATGAAAACTTGCTCTTTGTTTTTTCCATCATGTGGAAGCCACCTGCATTCCTGGGCTCAGAGCCACTTCCCTCTAGCCTTGAGCAGTAATGCAGCATGTCAGGAAGATTTTTGTGGCTGTTACTCAGCATTATCATGGTAATAGGTAACTGATATACAAAGGCAGATAAAACACATCAATGTCCATACATGGAGCCACCTCTTGCAAAGCAAGATCTCCTATATGCCAAGTGACTGGTACAGACAGAAAGTACAGATGGAGGATGGAAGTGGATGCGTGAAAAAGGGGACATTTGAATCAAATCTTTAGCAGTAGAAATGAGCCTGGCAAAGAGAAGAGAGGTGTTCAAGGTAGGGGACAGAAGCAAATAAAAGCCATGTTTAGAACCTTGGTCAGCCTGGAAGGGAAGGTTTGGGTGGAGTAGGAACAGAAAAATGAGGGGGCTGCTGTGGCCAGATCATGTGATGAATGTCGGCCAAGGGCTTGGCTCTCTCTCCTCTGGTCCCTGGTGGTACAAATGCCTTTAACCCAAACCAGGATGGTGGGAAAGCGATGTTTCCCAAAGCACAGTCTGGGGGCAGAGTGTGCTTTTCAAAGAAGGCAAGGGCACTGCTTGGGAGGAAAAAGGGGCATGTGTCTCTCTGCCCATAGATTTTGCTTGCAGCTTTCTGCTGAAAACTGCATTTTCATCAGTGACTTTTCAAAACAAAACAGATTCAGTTACACACTGTGTAGTGTTTAGTGAATGTCATGGGTACTGGACTCTTGAGTTTTGGGGTGTCTCTGTGGCTTTCTGGTACTCAATTGTTGCTTTGCCTGGTTACATCCCTATGGGACAAAGAAGGAGAGGAAAAGATTTCATACCTTTGAAGATCCTAAGATTCTTGCATGCAGTAAATTAGAGAAGAGTTGCGACTGCCGGGCTTCCAATTTCAACTCTAGAGTTCCAGTGGAGAAAACCCAGATGGAGAGGGGGCAGGAGTCTCTGGTCTTTTATTCCCCCAACAATATAGTATTGCAAATATTTACACCCCTGGGGTCCCTGCTGGCAAGCTTGGTGCTACAAAGAATTTGAGTTTTTAAAAAATTCACTTTGCTTATTAAAATGCATGTCTTAGTCCTTCTGCTATTTGATGAATTGAGTCTTATTTTTCCCTAGAGACCATCAGCAAAGTGGTTTCCTTTGGGTGATGTGGGTTAAACACTCTATTGATCCACCCCGTTATAAATGGCTTCCCTGTTTTTGTTCTCTCTGCGATTTTGTGAAGGGTATGATGAAGAAACTAATAACTACGATTTTACTGTGTGAAGCCCCTGTGCTATATGGATCTGCAGGGACTTAAAAAGTCCTTTATTCCCCCCAACCCACCCACCCACCTATACTCATTTCCCACTCCTTTCTCATTTGATTTGTTCTTGGGAAGGTTCTGTTTTGATGTAAACCTGAATTTTTTTCCACCTGGTTGCCAGGCAACAGAAGCCACCCAGTTGGGAAGCATGTAATGTTAGATTGTCCCCAGCAGCCTCTGAGGCTGGACCTGCCAAAACTCCAGTGTGTGGGGGAATCACGTAGGCTGCTTAAGACTCGAGCGTCCAAGCCTTCTCGAGCCAGTGCTAGTGGGCAGGTGGGGGAGATGCCTAGGAATTGGCTCTTCAAAAGGAGCCCTTGTGACAGCAGGTGGTTACAGGTGCTTATGTGTCAAATAGCTTCAAGATGGGGCTACTGGAACTTCTAGAAAAGAAAAGAGCTGAGGAAACTGGAAGGCACCGAAGCTCTTCTGTTTACTTTCCTATTTCATTCTGTCTCATCCACTATCTCACTCTACTCCATCTTGTCCTATCTAGGGGTTGTAGTCAGGGTTTGCAAGGGAATAGATTTAATACAGAACACATAATTTATAGGGTTATTTTATAATATTCACCCAAAAAGACAAATGCAGAGGAGAACAAGAGATCTGTCCACATACTAGAGACCCGAAAAATCCAGCCAAGGGCCTGGATCCCATGGCAATGTCCCACACAAGTCCAGCTAAAGGCCTAGAGCCCACAGCAATGTCATGTGCAAGTCCATATAAAGGATTTGCACCAGGAAGGCCCAAAGGCCAGTGGTGGAAGCCAGAAAGCCTGTGCCAGCAAGGTGAAGGGTCTGTGCCACCAGGCTGAGGGATCTGCACTGGAGCCAAGAAGTGATGTTCAAGGTGAAGATCAGAGCTCCCCTGATGAGAACAGCAGACGTTCTCAGTGACAGCGAGGACCCCAGCTCCTCCAATGATGAGCCAAGTTTACATCAAGAAAACCAGCCATGACAAGCTTCTCCAAGAAAAGCAAAATCACCTGATCTTTCCCCTCCAGTTCTCTTTTTATGCTATTGCCAACAATCCTCAGGTGGGTCTTCCACAGCCAGAACCACATTGGTTTAGTTCACATGGGTGTTCTTAGTTGACCATTAGTTAATCCACCACACCAAGTATTGCACATAGTGACTCACTTAATCTTATTGCAAACCAATGAAGTCACGACATCCATAGTCCATTTTATGGTGAAGAAATGAAAGAACTGAGAGGGTAGCTTATCCAAAGTTGCACAGTTAGGAAGTAGAGGAGCTTGGATTTGAACCAAGATAGTCTGTCTGGGTTTTAGCAGCAGGGAGTGGCACATAAGAATGCAAGTTCTTGGCCTGGACAGCTTGGATTCAAATCCCACCTCTAACATTTATTAACTGTTGGCCTTGCATGAGCTGTGTGATCTCTCTATGCATCAATGTCTTCATCTTTTTTCCCCTTTCTGTGCTAGGGATAGAACCCAGGGCCTTTGCACTGAGCTATATCTGTAGCCTTTTATTTTTTTTTTTTGAGACAGGCTCTATCTCACTAAGTTGCTAAGTTGCCCAGGCTGGATCTGAACATGCTCGAGATCCTCCTGCCTCAGCCTCCCAGAGTGAGCTACTATGCCTAGCTTAGTTTTGAAAGCCTTAATTTGGAGAGAATACAGTAATGCACTGAAATAACTCATTGGCATAGTGAGTGAAGAACTCAGAAAGTATGGCGGTCATTAAGTGACAGATGACTATAAATGACAACATGCCAAAGCACTCTTATGAAGACTGGCTTTTCATAACCATTAGCCATCATTTTCATTAGCTAATAAGTGTTTTGCAGGACAAAAAGGAATAGGGCAATGAGAAGAGTTCTTTGATTCTTGTTCTGTCCCTGACCTTCACAGTTGACCTTGGACATCATGAAGGTCAGGGATGGGGCTGAGGAGTTAGGAAGGATGTGTATGTGGGGGTTGATGCTAGGGAAGTTACCTTGTACTTTATTATTATTATTATTTTTTGCTATCGGGGATTGAAACTCGGGTCCTTGTGCTTGCAAGGCAGGCAGGTGGAACCACTAAGCTAAATCCCCAGCCTGCTACCTTGTACTTTAAAAAACAGTATCACCTGGGTGTGGCGGCACACACCTGTAACCCCTGCACTCTGGGAGGCTGAGGGAGGAGGAGTGCAAGTTTGAGCACAGCCTGGGCAATTTAGCAACTTAATAAGACCCTGTCTCAAAATCAGAAAAACAAAAAGGGACTGGCTCACTGTAAAGGCCCTGGGTTTAATCTTGAGTACTGAGAAAAAAAAAAAGCTGAATATCTAGTGGTTTGTGCTTTTTCTTTTTTTAAATTTTAATTTTTTTTTGGTACCGGGGATCAAACTCGGGTGCTTGCGCTTACGCAGCAGGTGGCGAAACCACTGAGCTAAATCCCCAGCCCCGTGGTTTGTGCTTTATAATCAGGAAACTGGCATGAATGTCAAATGGCCACAGCATACAAATGGACATGTCCAGAAGGCAAGGTCACCCCCCGACCCCACTCCCTACCAACCTGTCCCTTTAGGGTAACCAACCTGTCAGGCATTTGAGATCTGCACCTCCTTGCTTCTGTCTGCAATGCTTCTGAGGTCTCTTCCTTTGGAACTGGATCTGAAGTCCTAGGAACCAAGCTCCACGGTCCCCGGGACTGTGAATGTGGCAGAAGGGCTGAGGGTGAGGGTGAAGGTGGTGTGGAGTGTCGCTGCGGCTCTCCCACAGGTGTGGCTGTGATGGGAGAGCGGTGGTGGAGAGGATGTGGGTTGGAACCTGCAAGTTGCATATCAGGAATCAAGATCTATTCCCCCAGATGCCGGAAGTGTCCTCAGTGGTCAGCCCCTCGGGATGGCTTCGGCCGGCTAGAGGGCTGCCTGGCCCAAGAGAAACTGATACAGGAGTAGAGAGCCTGGCCTTTTAGCTGAGGATGGTGGTACATGACTGTAAACCTAATACTCTGGGAGGCTGAGGCAGGAGGGTCACAAGTTTGAGCCTAGCCTGGGCAACTTAGTGCCATAGGGAGATCCTGTCTCCAATACAAACAAACAAACAAGCAGGACTAGGAACAGCTCAGGGCAAAGGCCCTGGGTTCAATCTCCAGTACAGAAAAAACAACAACAAAACCAAACCAAACCCCAAAACCTAGGACACCCCTGAAAGGTTATCTTTATTATTTATTTTGCAGTGCTGGGGATGGAACCCAGGGCTTTATGCTTGAGTAGTAAGTGCTGTACTTCCGAGCTGTACCCCAACCCCTGAGGTCCTCTTTGGAACGCCCCACACGGCTGGCCAGAGCCTCTGTTGAGGTGACACAGCAGCTTGGGCATCCTGTGACCAGCTGGACTTCCTCCCCCCACCCAGGGCACCCTCTTTACGAGCCTCCGTCCAACTCTGTGGCTTCTGGGGCACCCGCCTGTGAAAACTCACCAAGGCATGAGACATTCCAAGCAAATGCAACCAAAGACCACAGCCAAGTTGAGTCCACTTTTTAATATTTTAACCATAATGCAAACAGGCATAAATAGACTTTGTTGAATCCCATAAAATTAGAAGATGAGAACTATACAGAAGAAGAGCATGCGGCAAACGGAGCCTGGACAACCTCTCGAGGAGTGTGTGGGGGGGTGACGTTGGTCTTTGGAGGAAGGTTCTAGAGCACACGGGACACTTGGCAGAGATTAGCAGCATCGAGAGCTCAGAGGTAGGGGACATGTGAGTCTTAGACAGCGCGTGCGTGGTGAGATGGGACCCCAGCTCCACCCACCCCACCAGCCTCCCCATCCCCAGAATGGACAACCATGGGTGCAGCCACAGAGCTACCAGTCTCACTCTCTGGGCCTGGAGTGGGTCTGACAGCCAACAGTGACAACACAATAGCAAAAATGGTGGAGGCTCAGTGCAGGGCACAGGAGCCTCAGACCCAGAGGGAGAGCACTGGGCCATGGGGGTCTTTGTTGGAGCAAATGTCAAGGACGCAGCATCTTCTCCACACGGAATCATCTGTCCTTCTGGCTTGGAAGGGGTTTGTGAAACCACAGTGCTTTCTTCCCTACAGATCCGCAAGTCTCAGTGTGGTGGCAGATAAAGGAAATAACCACGGGGTGGAGGAAAGCTCTATTAGTCATGCCCAGAAGGTCTATCATGAGAAGTCCTGGGGTGGCCACAGGCATCTCTTGTCCCTTCGTCCAAGACCAGTAGTGCTTATCTAAGGGGTGTGTGTGGAGCTAGTGCCCTCCCAGGTGGCACTGGGCACTGTCTGATGACCTATTTGATTGTTTCAATCGGCATCTCATAGGTGGAGGCCCCAGGTGCTGCTCATCATCCTATAATATCAGGACAGCCCCCATGACAAAGGACAATCCAGCTCCAAACACCAACAATGCTGGAGCTCTTGGGTCCTGGGCTGCAGTTGTCTGTAGCTTAGCAACCAAATGTGGGCACTTTCAATGTCCTGGAGTCATTGTCTAAAAGACTGCCTTAAGGCACATTTGCCTCTGCCTGCCAGGGCCACCACGTCAATGACTGACTGGGGTGGACCAGATGTCTTGCTTAACGAGAACTGTTTAGATACTTGTGGATGAAACAAATCCATAAACACACTAAGACATGTCGATGCCCGGCCACCTCCCTTACAAGTATTATAGGTTGAGTGTCCCTTAGCTGAAATTCTTGGGATCAGAAGTATTTCAGATTTTGGAATTTTTGGATTTTGCAATGTTTATGAAGCAGATATCTTAGCGATGGTACCCATAATGAGACTCAGGTATAGACATGAAATTCACTTATGCTTCTTATACTCACAGCCTGGAGGTGGCTTTATGGAATATTTTAAGTAATTTTATACATAAGATGATTCCACCGTGGGTGTCATGTTGGTGCCCAAAAAGTTTTGAATTTTGGAGCTTTTTGGATTTTGAGATCAGGGGTGATCAACCTGTAATTGAAAACAGATGGCAAGAGGGTACCTGGGTTCTTATATTTCAGATAAGCAAGGTTTGGGGAGAGGCAGCTTTTCCTTTTGGTTCCTCTGTCGCTGGTGAGTCTGGCAGTGGACAAGGAGGGGTGAGTAGAAGAGAGAGGCCCAGGACTGGAGATTTAGCTCAGTGGTTCTGCCTCCCGCCTTGCAAGCACAAGGTCCTGAGTTAGATCCCCAGTACCAAAAAAAAAAAAGAGAGAGAGCGAGCCCCAGGCCAGCATCGGCCCCCAAAGGCCAAGTCCATGTCAGGGGGATCACTTATATCGAGGCTTTGGAAAGCAAGGCCCCTGGTCAGATAGAAATAAGCAAACATGGCTGAGCAGGGCGCAATTGGTTCTCCAATGGTGAGACTAGGGAGGCTGGGCTGTGAGCTGATACTGTAGGGGTGCAGGGGCCCAGACATTAGCTTGCCCAGCTCAGCAGGAACCATTTGCCCCGTGATCTAGGTCAGAAAACTTCTCTTGGCTTTGGGTTTAGGGCAAAGCCTGTCCTCCTTGGAAGCCTGAAGCAGGTGGCTGCACGGAATGTTTGGCAAGAAAACCCAGTGTTCTTAAACCAGTGTCTATTGACTGGGGGTCACTTTTCTTTCTGTGTATCTAGACTTGGCTAGACATTGGCAGGTGTCACCCTGAGCTCTGGGAGAAGCTGGCCATCACATATGCCCCACAAACCCACCTTCCCTGGGGCCGTCCTTTATGACCAGCTTCCCTTCCCAAATAGAGGTAAGGCTCTGATTTCTCGGTCCTCACTTTCTACTGGACAGAGCATCAGGTCCTCACATTCAGCCCCTGGAATCTCAGCAATGCAGTGACCCACCAGTGACTCACAGTTAAGCCACCCCTGCTCTAAGCTAAGGCCAGAACCTCTTTTCCCAAGCTAACTCCTGCCACCTTAATTTCCCTTTCAGAAAGTACCCGTAAGAGCCCAGTGTGGTGGGATACACCTGTCATACTAGCATTGGGGAAGCTGAGGCAGGAAGAGATCAAATTTGAACCCACCCTGGGCAACTTAGTGAGACTCTGTCTCAAAATAAAAAATAAAAAGGGCTGGTAGATCACCTGAGAGTTTGACCCTCTGTATTGTAAAAGCAAAGCAAACCACCCTCAAGGACTCCCTGTTCCCTGCTAATTAAAACCGAAATCCTGCGATATTTACCTACTCTCTCACTGTCTGGCTGCTGCCTGTTTTCCTCAGCTCTTCCCTTTCCCCACCCCAGCCTTCCAATCCAGCTCTGATTCCCCTGGTCCGCATTGTTCCTCTTTATTCTCTCCATCCCTGCCAGACTCTTGCCTTCCAAAGTCTACCTGTGAAATCCCACTCATTGCTCAGACCCCAGACACCTGTGTCAATTCTGAGACTGGCATCTCTACCCACCAGGTTCTAACCTTCTGCAGGAACACAACTGTGTTCTCCTCATCTTGGTCTACACCATGGTGCCTTCCACCTACTGGAGAATCAAGGTGTGTGAAAAAGTGAAAAATGAAAACTGGGCTAATGTTTGGGCTGGATATTGTAACTGGGCTTGTCTCATACATCTGCCTCCTTGCACAGGTGGATCCATAGCTCAGGAAGGTCAGGTAGCCAGTTCGCAGCCATCTGCATAAATGGGGGCAGAGTTAGGATCTGCACTCAGGTCCTCTTCCAAAACTCCATTTGGTTGGATCTGTGTCTCCCTTCAAAGAAAGATGGCTGGCTGTCTTGCCCAAGGACACCCAGGAAAAACCCCCTCTCCTTCCAGGGGGTAACTTCCTCTGCCCGTCTGCACACAGGGCAGGGCCTGGAGTCACAGCGGAACACAATCACAGTAGAGCTTGATGTTCCAGGGTCCCCATTCTGGGAGTAGTTCATTCCTCTTGCTCACACCCACTTCCATGAAGTGGGGTCAGAAACACTGTAGGCCGGTTTAGGGAGGAAATGGAAAGAAATGGGTCACAACCCTGAGAACTCCCAAATACTTAGTGCACCCTATTTTTGCTCACCTATTGCTAACCACCCGTTTCGCTATTGTTGGCCATGGCGCTAACTAAAAACCACCAGCAGAGGGCAGTATTTGGCCACCCTGGATGGGACTTTCCTGACAGCCCAGTTTTCTGGTACCAGGAATCCCGGCAAATGAAAGAAATGTATTAGCTCTGTCTCCTGTATTCTGCAGCTTGTGTTATGAGTTGAAAGTTCTTTACTTAAAAAAAAAAGTCTGGTTATATAGTCATGTCTTTGGACTGTGACAAATAAAGGGATGTTTTCATCTGCTACTAGAAGGGCAGGGACATACAGGAAGGAGCTGTCGGGCATACAGTAAGTGCTTCTTATTCAGCAGTGAAAAACTTCCTTGCACAGAGCTTGTCGCAGAGGGGAGTTCTAATCGATTCCTCTTTGGTGGAGGCTGGACATAGCAGTTCAGTCTTGGGGAAACAGTGACATCTTAGCGAGTGTCCCCAAAGGTTCAAAGATATGAGAAGAAAGCTCCTGGGAGGAAAGTCACTAGGATCCAGCACTGTATTGGCAGGAGAGGAGGTGGTTCCAGTTGGCTTCCCTTCAGGTTGGCAAGGTCAACACTGGGGTGCTGAGTGCTTAGTCTCTATAGCCATGGAGGACTGAGCAGGAAAAAACTGGGGTTAAAGGGAGGCAGGCGAGAATACAACTGGGGGAAATTTGGCATGCCAGGGCTGGGGCACCAGTGGGCCACTAATGAGGGTGGAAAGAGGACATGGTTTGTCCTTCAAGAATCGCAGAGTTGGAACCCTTAGAATGTTGGTTCCCTTCTCAAGAGGGCCATGGCATTTTCTCACTGGCAGGCCCCAAACTGAGCATCAAGAAAGAAAACCTGTGCACAGGACATAAAGGAAACAGCCTGTCCAACAAAACAAAACAAAACAAGACAGAATTACAGACCTAGGGACCCCACGTCAATTCCCATCCTTCAAGGCTGGAGGTCACAGGGATTTCTTGGCTTTCTCTGGGTGCTGCCTGATATTGATTTTTAGTGTTTATGTGCAGGAGGGACCCTCCCTCCAATCCCAATTACTCTGAGAGGGTAAATACAGCAGACTGCTGAGAGAGAAGCTGGATTGGCCCTGATTCCTGCTGAAGATTTTGCTGTCCACTTTCTGGATGAATCAAGGATATTGGTTAAAATTCTTTTAGCAGGTTAAAGAATGAGGAGATCAATGTTAGAGGGTTGCAAGTCTAAGGACTATACATTTTCCACCTGGAGAGGGGGCTCCTTATTATGCTACTTCTCTCCACTTGGTCCCCCTCACCTCTTTTATTTGTGGTACTGGGACTGAGGATTGAATCCAGGGCTTTTGCACTGAGCTACATCTCCAGCCCTTTTTTAAACTTTGAAACAGGGTCTTGCTGAGCCTATGAATTGCCTAGGCTGGCCTCAAACTTGCAATCCTCCTGCCTCAGCCTCCCAGAGTGCTGGAATCACAGGCATGCACCGCCACATCCTGCTTCCACCTGATCCCTTTTAACCAGCTTTGGTTATTTTATCCCAAGGCTGAATCAGCAAGTCCCACCTGGATGAATTAAAAACAAAACCAAACAAAACCAATCACCTTCCTCCTTAACATTACTTCTAGGCTCCAAAATGTTAATGTTCAATTCATTCATATTCTTCAGGTTCATAATAAGATTAGGGGAAACTGAGGACAAGGGACTCATCCCAGGTCACCCAGTGGCACAGTAGGAAGATCCTTATTCCCAGACAGCAGTAGTTCTGGGCCTTGTGGGTGAGATGTTTGGAGAGAGCCCATGAGTATGGTCGCATCTGGGACCCCTGGCTGTGCGGGAGGTTCATTTCCCAGCGAGGGACATCGGTGCAGACCCTGAATTAAGGACACACGAGGAATTCACACGGGCCAGGGGCACATTGCTTGGCGCCGAGGGTCTTCCTCGAAGGCAGTGGACTCAGATCTAAGATGAACACATTTGCACAGGCAAAGGACACATGGAGCCCCGGGCCTGCCGCACGCACGGACACACATGCAAGACCAAAACGCCATCCTAAGAAAGGATCAGAGGGACTTGAGCAGCAGAGAGACTGGCTCAGACTTCTGTCCAGTGCCCACAGCCTTTCCAGGGGACCCCCGAGGACAAACTCTAACAGGAGCGATGGCCACGGTCCAATGGTTTCATGCACCCGCCCGCGATTTGCTTTGGGCAGCCAGGAAGCAGGGAGGACACGGTTGTGTAGGAGCCACTGCGGGTCATAAAGGCATCGCATTGCAGCAGAGAACTCAAGGAGAAAACCCAGGAGGGCCGAGGACACCACGGAGGGGCAGAACCTCGAGGAGGAGGGAAACCAGGATGAGAGGTGGAGTGGGGCCATGTGGGTCCCAGCGGAAGGGTTCAGCCGCGTGTCCGTGCTCAGGAAAGCCACAGCCACCCCTGCATTTGGGGTGCCGCCTGCCATCCCTCGGGCAACAGGGTCCAGTTAGGAGCTGAAAACCCTGTTGGAGGAGAAGGGAAGAGAATTAGTGCCACAGCAGCCAGGTGCTCTGATTCCTTCCAGAGACCAGAGGAGAAAGTGCCCACAGGCTGGGCTCTGGGGCTTGATGGCTATCATGTATTCCTCTGTTGGCAGGGCCTGAGTGAATGGATGTCACCAACACAGTTAGACAGGGAGAGGGATGGGAATGGGACTTCTGACAATTGAGGAAGGTATGATCTTCAATTATGTGAGCCCTGTGGACACAGTATTATTTTTTTGTGGTACTGACCGTCAAACCCACAGGCTCCCTACCACCGGGTGAGCTACATCACCTCAGCCCCTTTTATGTCTGACTTTGAGACAAAGTCTTGCTAAGTTGCCCACGTGGGACTTGAACCTGCTATCCTCAGCCTCCCAAAGTGCTGGGATGATAGGTGTGCACCACCGTCCTCAGCAGAGGGAGATGGTTAACATGTAAGACACAGCACCCTAACTCCTGAATTTCAAATTCAACAGGCCTGTGGCAGCCAGGGTATTTGCATTTCTATGGGGTCCACAGAAGACCCTGGTTCTGCTGGTCTGGAAGTCAGACATTCCTGTCTCCCCGACTAGAAGAGAAGGCCCTGCCCACCCTGGCTGGAGAGATGGAGGCAGCTTACTCGTCAGCGTCTTTTTTGCTCTCTTCAATGAAGGCAATGGACTCAGATCTAAGGCGGTTGGTCACTTCATACGTGCGCAGGGTGACTCCAAAAATATCTTCATGGTACCGGTTGTCATCCTAGGGGACAGAAACAGCCAGAGAACAGCCATCAAACGCCACCTCAGGGCTTGGAGAGAGGGCAAACACGCCGCTACTCTGGAAGGAAAAAGACCTAGAGAAGATGGTTCCTAATGACAGGAGGCCAAGCCCAGGGTCACCAGGTGATTTGGCTTCTAAGGCTCTGTGTCAGCCAAACTCTGTCCCCTGTGACAGCCCACAGCTGTCATGGTGGAGACTTTTTGAATCTCAGATGTAAACTCTGGCAGGACAGAGGGGTGGGTGGTCAAGCACCCTTCTTTTTTGTAGTCTCAAAGAGCAGCATCAGGCCAGGGATTTAGCTCAGTGGTGCCGCTGCCTGTCTCGAAAGCTCAAGGTCCTGTGTTCGATCCCTGGCACCAAAAAAAAAAAAAAAAAAAAAGGGCGGCATCTCTGAGAGTCAAAGGAGGGTAAAGATGTCTCTGTGCTGAGGAGGGGCAGCACCTAGGATGCACTGAGACCTAGCAGCACTTGGCCTCGAAGGTTTTGGAGAAAGCTGCCCATCTGCAGAGTGGGTTCATTTCATTTGAGGAGGTTTTTCAGCTCTACAAAGACTGATGGAAAAGTACAGTGTGTTTAAGTAAAAAAATTATTACAGTGAAAGACACTCTGTCACAAACCTCCCTCAAAATACCCCCTCAATTTGAACACACTTATCCCATCATTTTGCCGCTTTCTGAAGCCATTCTGGAAGTGAGTGTCTTTATGAGGTGTGATAAAAAATACAGCGAATTCTGCCGCCAAGTGGCATTCAATGCAGAGATAGACCCTCATGAAAGGGGACTTCCAGACCTCCTGCAGAAAGTAGCAAGAGCCAAGAATGAGGAGATTGCAGAGGATATCAGAAAATGGAAGGATGCCTCCTGCTCCTGGATAGAACCAATACTGTCAAAACAACCATTCTCCTAAAACTGTTACATAGATTCAATGCAGTCTCAATTCAAATGCCAACAGTATACTTCACAGATCTAGAGCAAACAATCCTAAATTACAGGCAGGACATAGAAGAGACCCAGAATAGCAAAAGCAATCTTGGGCAACAAAACCAAAGCAGGAGGTATTACAGTATCTGACTTCAAGCTATACCACAAAGCAATAGTAATAAAAACAGCATGGTATTGGAATAAAAACAGACATGTGGGTCAGTGGAACAGAATAGAGGATCTAGAAACCTCTCCAGACACATTCAGCTATTTGATCTTTGACAAAGGGGCCAAAAAGGATGCTGGAGGAAAGACAGCCTATTCAACAAGTGCACTGGAAAACTGGATATCTGTTTATAAAAGATTGAAACTGGACCCATATCTCTCCCATGTACTAAACTAAAACTAAAATGAATCAAAGATCTAAACAGTGAACCTGCTGGAAGATAAAATAGGTAAAACACTTGAAGTCATAGGTGTAGGAATTCAGAACCTCAGCTGCACAAGAAATAACAGCAAGAATCAACATATGGGATCACATCAAATTAAAAAGCTTTTGCACAGTAAAAGAATCAGTAGAGCGAAGAGATATCCTACAGAGTGGGAAAGCCTTTTGCCAGCTATTCCTCAGAGAGAGAGAGAGTACTAATATCTAAAATATATAGAGAACTCAAAAACAATTAGACCACCTGTTATGGCTTGTGTGTAGATGTCCCCCCAAAGCCTCATGTGGTCATGGCTGGGGCCTTTTCAGAGGTGGCTGGATCTAGAGGGTGTGATGCTGTGATTGATTCACGGTGCAATGCTAGGATCAAGGGCACTAGGATTAAGGGTGTGAGTGCTACCCACCGTAAGTAGTTTAGATAAAAGGGGAAGAAAGACACTGTTAAGGTCCCTGATTGCTTTGCCACCTTCAGTCCTCCATGAACTGTTGCCGTTCTGCCTTGGAGCCAGCAATTATGGGCTGAAACCTCTACAAACTGAGCTGAATAAACCTTTTCTCCTTTAACTTTGGGTATCGGGTATTTTGTCTCAGGCAATAAGAAAAGTGACTAAGACACCACCTAAAATAAAAGACTCAATCAAGAAATAGGCGAGTGAAATGAGCAGACACCTCGCTGAGGAAAAAGTAAAGATGGTCAACAAATATATGGAAAAATGTTCAATGTCTCTGGCCATTAGAAAGATGTGGGGCCTAGGGTTTGGCTCAGTGGTTCCACCACCTGCCTTGCAGGCACAGGGTCCTGAGTTCCATCCCCGGTACCAAACAAACAAACAAACAAAAAAGAAAGATGCAAATTAAAACAATTCTAAGACTGCATCTTATACTACAGAGAATGGCATTTATTTAGAAGTCAAAAAATAACAAATGCTGGTGAGGCTGTGGTGAAAAAGGAACCCTTCTGCATTGTTGGTGGGGATGTATACTAGTCCAACTAGTTCATTATGGAAAATAGTATGGAGATTTCCCAAAGAATTAAAATTAAAAATTCCATATGACCCAGGTATTCCCTTTCCTAGGTATCTTCCCCAAAGAGCTAAAGATATCATACTACAGCAATACATTCATTCCCAGTGTTTACAGGAGCATAATTCATGATAGCTAAATCTTGGAAGCAACCTATATACTCATCAACAGATAAATGGATAAAGAAAATTTGGTATCTATACATAATGGAATACAACTCAGCTATAATGAAGGATGAATTTGAGACACTTGTAGGATGTACCTGGAAAATATAGTGTTGGATAGTGAAATAAATCAGATGCACAAGGTTAAATACCATATAATATCTCTCATATGAATAAGGCAAAGCACAAACAAAGTGCACCATAAATGATGGCTAGAAGGAGAGAAGGGGATGGATCTCTTGGAAATGGGAAGAGGTCCAGGAGGCCAAGGGCAAGGGTAGAGGGAGGGAGAGAGAAATAAGTAGAATAAATATGCCCTGCAGAGGAACCTACTGACCTCAATGAGTGTAAGCATTGTATGGCATAAACACGAGCTAAGAGTAATAATAACAAGGATGAAAATAGGCAACGGGGAATTAGAGGAGGAAGGAAGAAGGTGGCAAGGAAGGGGATTAAAAGAAGGTGTATGATATACCTGTACCCACTCCCCAAAGATGACTGTGAACTGCATGTCCTGCAAACAGGTACCAGAAGAAAGTGACAAGAACAATGGGATGAGTGTGTTTGCATCAAGGGGCTCAATGGCAGTGTACCTTTTACTATAATTTTATTTAAATTAGTGATTTTTGGGGGGATCTAATCTTGTATTCTACAAAGTTCTGGGGCCAGACACTGAAGATATAGCCATCCCCACAGCTCTCCTGGGTCTGTGATGTTTCTATGAGGAAGTTCTTCTTTTACTTACTGGGGTGGTTTAGCATCAGATGCAGAGTAAGGGCCTCTTGCTGTACATGTCTGAACACCACAGCAATGTTTTCTCACTGTTTATTTAGAAAAGCAGGAGGAAGCGTGGGGCATCTTGGGAGCTTTTTTCCTATTGGGCCGGCTGGTCACATGGATATGACTTTGCTGGCTGAGCTACCATTCACCTCTACCCAGCCTTTAGGCTTTTCCTTAGGAGTGGACACAGTTCCACGCCGATGTGTGTGGATTGGAGAATACAGCATGAGGTGGCTTTCAGATTCTTCCTGCCCACCTTGGATGGATCTTTTTGTATCATGCACAACCTGTACAACTGGACAGGTTGGTTCTGGGAACAGGAAAAGTTGTGTTAGGATGGTTTCCATTCCATTATCCAGAGGTCCCTTTACTTGTTATTTTTATGCATTATAGCTCCCAACCATATTTACTCATTTAACCTGCCTGCCTGGTTGTCCTTCTTTCTCTCCCACCCACAGGTTGGGACTACCTGTATCCTCTGCCTCCAGTCATAAGTGCAAAATGGGGAACAGGAATATTATCATCGTGGCTTCCCTAATCATGGACAGGTGGGGTGAGGAACAGGAGACAGGAAGCTAGGTGCCAGGAAGGAGAGCCGAGAAGCCAGCCTGGCCGTCACTCACCCTCAGCCTGCTGATGAACACGCCAGCATCCTCCTCTGAGAATCTCCCCTGCTGAGCCATGATGCGCTGGATGGCTTTGAGGACATCAGCGGCCATGGTGACGTCCCCGCAGACGTAGATGTGGCCCCCTTGCTCCTTGAGGGCTCGGTACACGGCCTCTGCCAGCTGCTCTTGTAGGATGTCCTGCACATACTTCTGCAGGGGACAGGAGACCGGGATGTGTGAGGCTCCTGGTGTGGCTTACATCCCTCCAGAAAGGACAGGGGGATGCAAGGGCTTGCTGCCAGGTCGGATATTTTCTGGGGTGGCTCCAGGGAAGGAGGGAGTGAGGGACCAGCAGAGTGAAGCAGGAAAGGTGGGGGAGCTGTCTGCAAATGTGGGGAGGAGCTGCTCCCCATTTTGGGTGACTGGAGCATGTAGGACCCCCTGGGGAACCAGGCTGTGCTCCGCAGAATCATCCCCTGTAGGGGCACCCGAGGGGCCCTGATCTGCCTGGTCCTCTTGGCAGTGGCTTATGGTCACACATGGGGTGTGGACACTGTACACTTTCTGTGTGGGCTGGGTATCTGCAGGCCCCCCGGCTGCAGAGCTAGAGAAGCCCAGGCTGGCTGCAGTAAGAGGGGGCTCAGAGCCTGCACACGGCCTACTGGGGTGTGTACAAAGGGCCACTCCCACTGCTACCAGGGAGCTGGTCTTTAACTTGCCCAGGACCTCCCACCCCCAGGCCTTGCTATACTCAGCTGATAAGTCCTAGACACTCTGTACTAGCTGTAAATATTTTATTACTATTATTTTTTGGTACCGGGGATTGAACTTGGGTCCTTGAGCTTGTGAGGCAGGCAGCGGAACCACTGAGCTAAATCCCCGGGCCCTAGCTGTAAATACTGACATATGCCTGTGCCAGCTGTCAACCTCTGTCCAGAGCCTCTGAGTGCCAACGCCCCCAGGTGTCCTGACCCCTTCCTGGGATGAATCACTTGGACTGCTTCGAGATCCAATAGAACCATTGCCAGTCCCAGGTCTCATGTCCATTCTGATGGGTACTGCCTCTTATGGGCTGTCCAACAAATAAATTATTATTATTATTATTATTTTTTGGTACCGGGGATCGAACTCGGGTCCTTGCGCTTGAGCAGCAGGCAGTGAAACCACTGAGCTAAATCCCTGGACCCAAATAAATTATTTTACTCTACTTTTTGTGGTGCTGGGGATTGAACCCAGGGCCTCTGTGCTGAGGTACGTCCCCATCCCTTCTTTAAAAAAAACTGAAACAGGGTCTTGCTAAGGTGCTCAGGCTGGGCTTGAATTTGCAATCCTCTTGCCTCAGCCTTCCACAGGGCTAGGATGACAGGCTTGCCCCACCAGGCCCAACACAGTTCCAGAACTTCTCTGTCACTCCAGGTGGACAGTGTGCACTCACAGAGCAGTCACTCCCCTTTCCCCCTTCCCAGGCTCTTCATCACCACCCACCTGCTGGGAGTTGCCTAGGTTGGCGTCAGATAATGGGCTGTTAAAGCCTTTCAATAGTGCCATGGTTGAAATATGAAGGGTCCCCCAAAGACTCATGAGTCGAGGACTTGACTCCAATGTAGCCGTGTTCAGATCATGACTGGATTAATCCACTAATGAGTTCCTAGTGGAGCAGGCTGTTAGGGGACAGAGCCCCTTTGGCGGAAGTAGGTTACTGGGGGATGTGCTGTTGCAGGCCAGATTCTATCCCAGGCAGGCCCTTCCCTTCTCTTTGGTGCTCTCTCTCTCTCTCTCTCTCTCTCTCTCTCTC